CCTGGCTTGTCTTTCACAGATTTGATGATGGTCTTTAGATACCAGCCCATTGGAAAAATGAGTATTATGACTAATGAGATCATTCTGGCCAAGCCAGAATATCTGGTTAGCATTATTCTGGATAGACTTATATTCTGCCCACTACTGTAGGGAATGCTGTCTGGAAATAAGAGGATTTTTAAAAAGAGATTGTCAGTATTCTTTTTCTTGAAATCAATTTATGTTTATTCATAATTTCAGTACTCCTTTAAAGGTCACTTTATAAAAATTTGAGATGTCATTATTTTTATTTATTTATTTATTCTGAGATGGAGCCTTGCTCTGTTGCCCAGGCTGGAGTGCTGTGGCATGGTCTCAGCTCACTGCAACCTCCACCTCCCAGGATCAAACGATTCTCCTCCCTCAGCCTCCTGAGTAGCCGGGATTGCAGGTGCCTGCCACCACACCCAGCTAATTTTTTGTATTTTTAGTAGAGATGGGGTTTCACCATGTTGGCCAGTCTGGTCTCAAACTCCTGACCTTGTGATTTGCCCATCTCGGCCTCACAAAGTGCTGGGATTACAGGCGTGAGCCACCAGGCCTGGCTGAGATGTAGTGAGTTGTTGTCGTTGTTGTTGTTGTTGTTGTTGTTTGAAATGTAGTCTTGTTCTGTCGCCCAGGCTGGAGTGCAGTGGCGTGATCTCAGCTCACTGCAACCTCCGCCTCCTGGGTTCGAGCAATTCTTCTGCCTCAGCTTCCTGAGTAGCTGGGACTATAGGCGCATGCCACCGCACCCAGCTAATTTTTGTATTTTTAGTAGAGACAGGGTTTCACCATGTTGGCCAGGATGGTCTCTTATCTCCTGACCTCAGGTGATCCGCCCACCTCGGCCTCCCAAAGTGCTGGGATTATAGGTGTGAGCCACTGCGCCTGGCCCGAGATGTAGTTATTTAAATAGCTTATACACATGCCTGTTTAACTTTGGATGGCAGAATTTTGATTAGGTAGATCTTAAGGCTTTAGAAAATGGTTTATTCTGTTTAACTTGTGATTTTCCAACTAAATCTTAAATTATTGAACATGTGTTTCAAAATTCATCCTTTAGGAACACTCACAAAAGTTCTCATTAGTTTCTCTTACTTTTTATTTGTCTTTCCCACAACCTTTCCCCCTGTTTTTCCACTTGCCTTCCTGAAACTGCACTTCAGAGTTGGGAGTAGAGAGAAACCTGGTTTGAGGCAATAGGGGGAACACAGCGTTCTTTCGTTCTGTGTATTGTTGTGACACTAAGCCTGTTAGCATTCAGATACCAGTTCACAGCTGGTGAAAGGATTCCAAACTTCATAGTAGCAGTAGTTTATTGAATGCTTATCATGTGCCAAGTACAGAGCACTTAATATGTTATTTCATTTATTCTCCTTAATAAGAGAACACTGAGGCACTCTGAAGAAGCCAGGTCACCTAATTCCAGTGGCTGTGCTCCTCACTGCCGTATTGTACTACCTCATTCAGACTGACTGAGGTAGTACAATTTCCGTTATGTTTAAAAATCTGAGAGATCTTTGGGACCTCAGATTTGATCTGTGGCATCTGACCTATAAAGAGAAAACTAACGTTTATGTGTTTATAAGAATCATTATTTATATTTGAAAAGCCTGGTGTTGTTTTCTCCCTGATTTCTAACTCTGGCATCTGGAATGCAGTGTAGGCAGGAGTGTGCCTGGGAGACAAACAGAGATCTCACGGATTCCTTTCTTTTTCCTGCCATAGCAGCAAATTTTCCTTGGAGCACTATTTGAAAATTAACGTTACTGAAAAAATTAAGCCTATTTAAAGGGACTCTAGTTTTGATCTAAGTTACAAAAGGTGAGAAGACAGTTCTGAAAAAAATGTGTCACCTTGGAACTGGAATGCTTTAGTTAATGGGGTAAGCTAGAAGTAAGCTGCCTTTGATAACTCACATAAGAGCAGCATATGAATGGATGATAACTGTCTTTCTTCCATTTAATTCAGCTACTTCCTATTCAATCTCAAATCTCAGTTGGAAAGCAATTTCCCTCACTTGACCCATTTTTCTTCTGCATTATATCTTTCTTCTGGTTCTTCAACACAAAAAGTTTGAAGGAATGGAGTGTTGTAAACCCTTAAAGACTTGTAAGCAGATTCAGACACCTGTTTTGGGATAAGCATATTTCATTATTTGGCTTTCTAGTTGGAAGGATAACAATTTTACTTCTTTAGGTTTGGTTTTGTTTCTTGGTTCTTTTTGAGACAGGTCTCGCTCTGTTGCCCAGGCTGGAGTGCAGTGGTGGAATCACAGCTCATTGCAGCCTCAACCTCTCAGGCTCAAGCAGGACTCCCACCTCAGCTTCCTAAGTAGCTGGGACCACAGGCATGCACCATCATGCCTGGCTAATTTTTAAAATTGTTTTTGTAAAGACAGGGTCTTCCTATGTTGCTGGGATTTTCAGTGTGAGCAACTTCACCTGGCTGCCTCTTTACTTTGATATCACAATTTTCAGGAGAGAGATCTGTTAAATGACTGAGATTGGTATAGAGGCATATGGGTGTAGACCAAGCTTGCCCAGCCTGCGGCCCGGAATAGCTTTGAATGCAGCCCAACACAAATTCGTAAACTTTCTTAAAATACTATGAGATTTGTGTGTGTATGTGTGTGTGTGTTTGTTTTTTTAGGCTCATCAGTTATCATTAATGTTAGTGTATTTTGTGTGTGGCCCAAGACAATTTTTATTCTTCTCGTGTGGCCCAGAGAGGTCAAAAGATTGGACACCCCGGTATAAATAAAAGGAGTTAGTCAGCCCAGCCTGGGCAACACAGCAAGACCCTTGTCTTTTAAAACATGAAAAAATTAGCTTAGCATGGTGGCACATACCTGTAGTCCTAGCTACTCAGGAGGCTGAGGTGGGAGGATCACTTGACCTCTGGAGTTCAAGGTTACAGTGAGCTATGATCCGGCCACCTCATTTTGGCATGGGTGATAGCGAGACCTTGTCTCAAAAACAAAAGAGAAAAAAGTAGGTGGGGGGTATAAAATTCTTGTTTTAGTAACACGGGCAATTTAAAGATGTTATAATTTTAGTAAAGATGTATGAAATAAGCCTCTCACATATCCATATTGTAAAATGTCTGAGACCCAAGTCTCTTGAATTTTTTCTCTAAATTAATCTATTAGTGGTATCATTAACACATCCATTAGTTACAGGTGTCTTGTGATAACATTTGTTTCACACCTTGGATGATAGAGTGCTTGAATTGGTTTCTGTCTTTGCCAGATCAAATTCTAAATTTCCTAAAATAGCTAACATCAAACCAGTCTCCTTTATGAATCCTTCTCTGACTTCTGTCATGGTAAACTTTCTCTTCTCTGTTCACTCCTTTGGTCATCTCATTCAGTCCTGTGACATTAAATACCACATATACACTGAAGACACCAGCCTAGACTGCTCCCCAGACTCAATATTTGCATATGCAGTTGCCTGTCCCCCAACTTGATGACTGTTTAATGGGCATTTCCACTGAACAGATCCAGAACTACACTCCTGTTCTTGCCCCAAAATAACCTCAGGAGGTTATTTTGTCTTCACTGGTGAATTCTATCAAATATAGTACTAATACCAAGCTTTCACAAACATTTCCAGAAATTATCATCTGCTCTGCTTGCATTCCTTCCCACTTAATGAAAAGCACTGCCTTCCTTCCAGTTGCTCTGCTCAAAAACTTTGGAATCCCCAGTGACTTCCCTCTTCACTCCATGAATTTTTCACTCTAGGAATTTTCACTTTCATCTAAATCATCTTTTGTCAGCATAAAGTTGTTTATGGTACCTACCTCAATTGCTGTAAAATCAGCAGTCATGTCCCCTCTTTCATTCCCCCCGCCAAAAAAAAAGTAAGAGGGAGAGATGGAGTCTTGCTGTGTTGCCCAGGCTGCCCTTGAACTCCTGGGCTTGGGAGATCCTCCCACCTTAACCTCATGAGTAGCTGGGACCGCAGACACATGCCACTGCACTCTGCTTGTGTGTGTTTTTGGTTCATTTCATTTTGGGTTTATATTACCATTGTTATTCAATGTTATGTGTAGTCAAGGTGATAATAGATTAGCAACAATGGTGCTGTTAACAGGTATTATGTCTTGTTTCTCTGCTATGTTTCCAAGAACAAATCTTAACTAATTGAGTCTGTTCAAAATTCACAGTTCTGTAGAGTTTACCGAGGAGAAAACAGAGACGTAAAGAAGCAGTGTGACTTGCCCAAGATAGGTAGTCCTGGGTTCAAACCCAGGTCTTGCAGAAAACTAATTCCATGCATTTTGCCATAGGTAAATGAGCAAGGGAAAAGACAATTTGCAAAACAAATTGGTAAACATCTTTAAAATGAATCTTTCTAGTAATCAAAGAAAGAAATTAAATAAACCAGATTAAAAAAGAAACAGTTAAGTAAACTTAAATATGATACTGAGAATGATGAGAAAAGAAATTTATTTAAGTCTCAGATATGGGGAAAAAAAATTCTTCCATGCATCTTTTGGTGGTGGCCGTGAAAACAGGTGTAAATACGTTCAGGTGGTGAAAATAATAATGCACATCAAAAGAATCAAATACTTTATTACCCTTGGGAGGTTTTTTTTTTAGCATCTGTATTAAGGTTTTTTTTCTGATATACATTGAACTGCACATACTTAAAGTATAACATTTGACTGGGCGCGGTGGCCCAAGCCTGTAATCCCAGCACTTTGGGAGGCCGAGACGGGCCGATCACGAGGTCAGGAGATTGAGACCATCCTGGCTAACACGGTGAAACCCCGTCTCTACTAAAAAATACAAAAAAACTAGCCGGGCGAGGTGGTGGGCGCCTGTAGTCCCAGCTACTCGGGAGGCTGAGGCAGGAGAGTGGCATAAACCCGGGAGGCGGAGCTTGCAGTGAGCCGAGATCGCGCCACTGCACTCCAGCCTGGGCAACAGAGCGAGACTCCGTCTCAGAAAAAAAAAAAAAAAAAAAATTTGTCATTCTTGTAGGAAGGTAATCATTTCTTAAATATTATTTAATCAAACCTTTTTCTTTTTTGGGTAAAATCTGGTCTTTTGAAAATACGAAATAGCATTGTGATTATGAGACTTCTGGACATCATGTAAGAGTTAAGGTTCAATAACAAAAATGGAAACCGGTTTACGGTTGCCATCTTTTACTCTTGCCGCCTAAGACTTGAATAAAAACCACCACGATATACTTTTATCATTACTTTTTAAAATAAAGGACATTCTCATGCAAAGAAGTGGAAAGGATACCATCTTATAGGAGAATCCTATAAATTGAGTAAATACATCTTTAGGAAAAATGTAGTTCGTCTTTATTTTTCTCAGTCTGTGGTGTTATAAAACTTTTTCAACTGATCATGGTCTCAAGAGTGAGTTTTCAACTCTGAGCTAGATATAGGAACACCACTTATTAGCTAGGTGACTTTGGGTTAGTTTTTACTTTCTCTGAGCCTTTGTTTGCTCAGCTAGAAGAAATGAATAATAATGTATACTATTACAGGATTATTGTAAGAATTAAATGAGGTAACATGTAAGTTTCTCACATTGTAGGCTCATATCGTCTTCCTTATATTCAGCCCTGCATAATCTATTTCTCACTATCACACATTTGCTCTGTAATTACATATTTGTGTGTATGTTTCTGTAATTTCAAAGTGAGTCAAGTCTAGAGTGGTACTATTTTAACCCTATCATAACATGACTATAGGAATCACTTTGGTATGATTTATAAGGTGGGCGAGGGAGGTTGTTTTGCCCTGAAAACATCTGCAAATGCTGGCATATGGAACTGAGCAAAAGATGTGCAATAGAGATTGAATTTATATTCTTTCTGAAGACTGTTAGGATTTGTTCTTGTGATGATCAGATTGTCAGTTCAGTTTACTGTATTTCACACAGAGTAGCCCCAATTAGGGTTCCAGAAATGCTTATAAATTTGTCTCCTGTGGTATTAATGTGATGATGTTGGATTCTTCATCACTGAAGTCAGCTATTCAGGTAAAACTATTTGGTAAGATCAGATACCTAAGCAATATATAGTCACTAAGTCACTTATAAATAAAACTTGGGGCCGAGCACGGTGGCTCACACCTGTAATCCCAGCACTTTGGGAGGCCAAGGTGGGTGGATCCCCTGAGGTCAGGAGTTTGAGATCAGCCTAACCAATATGGTGAAACCCCATCTGTACTCAAAATGCAAAAATCAGCTGGGCGTGGTGGCAGGCTCTTGTAATCCATCCCAGCTACTCAGGAGGCTGAGGTGGAGAATCACTTGAATCCAGGTGGTGAAGGTTGCAGTGAGCCAAGATCACACCATTGCACTCCACCTTGGGCGACAAGAACAAGACTCCGTCTCAGGGAAAAAAAAAAAAAAAAAAAAAAAAAACTGGTTTCCCCCCATTTTATAGGTATGCTAAAGAGGAAAAAAATAGAATGCCTAACATGTTACTACTTATGTACAAATTGTATGACTCATTATATGATAAATGTTTCCAGATGGTATTTATTTTATGGTACTTAGACTTTCTAACCTTTATAATGATTACTATATATACATTTCCTTTTCCTACTAGATTATAAACTCCTTGAAAGCAGGATTCGTGTTTAGTTTATCTTTTCATAAAACTTAGCTATGTGTATTGATTTATGCATATGCATTTAGTAAATATAGCTTGATTAGTTAAATAAATCTTCATCTGTAGTAATTTCTATTTTGACTTCTGCTGTTATCAATTGTCTCTTCAAAGTTTGATGAGATAGGAGTGATGGGGAAAATATGAAAAGCATTAATGTATCATTTTCACTTCCACTAGTATCTTTGCTAGACCCCTAATCTCCAGTAGTTGTAAAGCTTTGGGTTATGAAAAGGAACTCCTTGTCTCTGAAATGGTAGATATTTTTTATGATATGTTGCAAAACAAAAAGACAACTTTTTAGTTCAAAAGGAAACCAGCATTTATTAAGCCCTAGCTGTGTGCCAGGATAGGAACTTTTAAGGAGTCCCAGATCCCTTTGAGAATTCAGAAAACCTAAATAAAACAAGAAAGACATTTTAATTATAAAAGAATAATCTCCAAAAAGTTTCTTCTCCTTTTCAACCTTTCATGCTTTTAATATTTACTATGTAAATTGCCTAAGAACTTAAAAAAGAGGGATAGCTTTTCAATTTATTTTATGAAGCTAGCATACCAAAGACACAAAAAATGATAGGCAAATGTCTAACTTTAGATTTTTGTCACATAAGTGTATGTGAGACTCTTAAAATAATTTACCAGAAAGTGTAATTAATCAGTGTCGTATTTTTTCTTTAAAACCTCTCTTTTTTTTTTTTTTTTTTTTTTTTGAGAGGGAGTCTCGCTCTGTCCCCCAGGCTAGAGTGCAGTGGTGCGATCTTGGCTCACTGCAAGCTCCGCCTCCCGAGTTCACACCATTCTCCTGCCTCAGCCTCCCGAGTAGCTGGAACTACAGGTGCCCGCCATCATGCCTGGCTAATTTTTTGTATTTTTAGTAGAGATGAGGTTTCACCGTGTTAGCCAGGATGGTCTCAATCTCCTGACCTTGTGATCCGCCCACTTTGGCCTCCCAAAGTGTTGGGATTACAGGCGTGAGCCCCTGCACCCGGCCTAAAACCTCTTTCTAAAGAGAATTTGAGGCAAATGCAACAGCATATTAAAACAATAGAATAGTAAAAAGTAAGGCTTATCTTTAGAATGCAAAGAACTCTACTCATATTCCTCCACAGTTATAGATGAAGGAAGTAAACTCATAAGATTATCTCACTTGCTACCTGTAAAGTCATATAGTAAAACTCAGTATTATTTTGCATGCCTGCTTCTGGCTAAAACAGACTAGCCAGTGTCAGACCAACCCTGCTGCCAAGAACTAAAATGCTTAGGTAAATAATAAAAAGCAACTATTTGAAGGTATTGGAAGCTACTAGGGCATTGAAGACTTTGAGGCCAAGATCCCAGAGAGAAGGGAGGTCTAAAGAGGCAGAATAAACATTTGATGCCACATGACCTCTCAGAAGCATTTACCAGCTTCAGTGCTAGGACTGAAAACCTGAACAAGCGGCTAAGTAGAGTTTTTAATAGACGTTGGAGGCTGGGGTCACAAAAATGGGAGTTCAGGGATGACAGACCCTGGTAAGCATTCCAGGCTTTTGGTCAGAACCACCCCTGTTACCCCCTAAAAACCCCAACTTTTTACCCTAGGTGTATGGTAAACCTAGAAACTTTTCTGAAATCCAGCCCTCACAAAACACAAAAACTTAGTTTTGAATTGGCTGAAATAGCTTAAAGTCATTCACCCCTGCTCTTAAATGCTTGTCAGAAGCAAAACTAAGTCCTCTCTGGAGGAAGGTAACATTCACAGCCTCCGCTTATCTCCACAATTTTGTGCATGCAAGATTAACATTCAGTCAAAAACTAGACATATAAAAAGATAGGCGATAAGGTTACCCACAGGAGAGCTAGATATTAGGGTTATCAGACATGGACCTTAATGTAATGTTGATAAATATGTTTAGTAAATTAAGTGACAAATGGAGGGTTTCAGAAAAAACTGGACACTATAAAAAAGTTAAATGGAAATTCTGAAATTGAAAAGTACAATATAGGGTGACAATAGTTTACAATAATCTATTGTATATTTTAAAATAGCTAGAAGAGAAGAATTTGAATTTTTTAACATAAAGACATTTAAGGCAATGGATATCCCAATTACACTGATTTGATCCTTACAAATCATATGAATGTACTAAATTATCACATGTATCCTGAAAATATGTGTATCTGTTATGTATCAATTAAAAATTAAAAAGAAGAACTTTTAACAGTACAGTAACTCAAATTAGGAATTAAACAGGAGGGTTTAATAGTATTCTTAGCTGAAGAAGAAATTAGTAAACTAGAAGATAGATCAGAAGACAATGTCCATACCAAAGCACAGAGAGACAAAAGGATGGAAAATGAAAATAAAAATATGTAAGAGACAAATGGGACACTGTTAAAAGTCTAAAGTACTTACAATTGGAATCTCAGAAGGAGAGGAGAAAGAATAGATCAGAAGCAATAGTAAAAGACATAATGACTTGAGAATCTTCCAAAACTAATACAAACTTGCGTATTTGAGAATCACCATAGCTCTAAGCAGAATCAATACCAAAAGACAAAAATAAGGGGAAAAGAGAGGAAAAATTGCCAAAACAAAGAAAATCTTAAAATCAGCCAAAGTAGGAAAAAGATACATTACCTTCAAAGGAGCGACAATAAAGACTGACAGTCTACTTTGTGAAGAAATGGAAATCAAAATACAGTGGAATGATGGCTTCAAAGTGTTGTAAGAAAATAACTGCCAATCTAGAAATCTGTATGAAGCAAAAATATCTTTCAAAAATGAAGTGAGAATATAGATATTTTCAGACAGACAAAAATTTGAGAGAGTTCATCATCAGCAGATCCACACTAGAGGCACTATAAAGAGGTAAAAGGAAAATTATCCCAGCTGGAAGCATGGAGATGCGGGAAGGAGTAAAGAGCACTGGAAAGGATAGATAGATGAATACATCTAAAGTAATGTGAACTGTGTAAAACAGTAAAAATATTGATAGGTGCAGCAAACCACCATGGCACACGTTTACCTATGTAACAAACCTGCACATGTACCTGGAATTTAAAAATTTTAAAAGTAAAAATAATAAATGGCAACAGCAACCCAGAAAGCTGGAAGAGAGTTCTGATGGGGGAAAAACACAGGTTATTTTTCCTCGGCTCTCACTCTATAGCAGTGATCATCACAGAGGACTTCTTTGACCAAATGTGTGGATTTCTCCCCACATGCCAATCAAGCAGTCAGTTCTGCAGTGGACACCAGCGGGGTCTCTCTCAACGCAGACTTCTGTAACCAAATGTGAGGGTTTCTTGCCACACATCAAACGAGCAAGGAGTTCTGCTGTGGACGTCAGGTGGGTACCCTCCAATTCCATTTTAACATTATCTACCTGGAGATAACTCAGATCCCACAGGTTGAAGACTCAGTCTCCAAGACTGTCCCTCCTTGAGACACTATTTGCAAGTCTGGGTCTCCAGAACTTCTGACCCACTAGCTTCAAGTTGGGATTCCCACCACCCCTCTTTGGGTTCAGTTAATTTGCTAGAGTGGCTCACAGAACTCAGGGAAATAATTACGTTTACCAGGTTATTACAAAGGATGTTATGAAGGAAACATGAAGAAATGCCTAGGACAAGGTATGGGAGCTGGGTGCTTCCATGCCCTGTCTGGTGCACCACCCTCTGGGCATTTCCACTTGCTTGGGCATTTGGAAGCTCTCCAAACCCAATCCTTTTGGGTTTGTTTTGTTTTGCTTTTGGTTTTTTGTTTTTGGAGGCAGAGTCTCACTCTGTTGCCCAGACTGGAGTGCAGTGGTGCAGTTATGACTCACTGCAGCCTCAACCTCCTGGACTCAAGCCATCCTCCCACCTCAGCCTCCTGAGTAGCTGGGACTCCAGGCATGTACCATCATGCTAGGTTAATTTTTTTAAAAAAATTTTGTAGAGGTGGGGTCCCACTGTGTCGGCCAAACTAGTCCCACCTTGGCCTCCCAAAGTGCTGGGATTACACTTTGGGAGCCACTGCTCCTAGCCCCTTTTGGGCTTTTATGAGAACTTCATTATGCAGGCATCATTGATTAAGCCATTGGCCACTGGTGATCAACTTAACCTTCAGCCCCTCTCTGCTCCCTGGAGATTGGAGGGTAGGGCTGAAAGTCCTAACCTTCTAATCCTGCCTTGGTGTTTATGGAGACCAGCCCCCAACCTGAAGCTACCAGGAAGCTTCCAGCTTTCAGTCGACTCATTAGCACACAAAATAACATTACTTTGGAGTTTCAAAGGATGTTAGGAATTATATGCCAGGAAGCAAGATCGAAGACAAAATATACATTTCACAGTATTACAAAGATAAATATAGTTTAAATGTCCTCAGGTCTTTGTAATTTGTATTAGATTTTAATGAGTCAGAGATAGTAATATCTAGGGTAGTCCTTCTCAGTCACATTTGGTGAGAGAATCACATCTTAATGTCAAAGACAGCAAACTTCAACCTGTGGATCAAATCTGGCCTGCTAACTATTTTAGTAAATAATGTTTTATTGGTGGAACACTGCCATGCCCATTAGTTTACATATTGTCTGTGACTGGATTCATGCTATACCACCAGAATTGAGTAGCTGCTACAGAGACATTGTGGTCCACAAAGCTTAAATTTATTGTCTAGCCCTTGATAGAGGAGATTTGACAACCCCTAGATGTTGTGGACTGAGTGTATGTGTTCCCCAAAGATTTGTATGTTGAAATTCTAACCTCCAGTGTGATGGTCTTAGGAAATGGCGCCTTTGGGAGGTATTTAGTTCGTGAAGGTGGAACCCTCACGAATGGGATTACAGACACAGAGGTCTTGCATCTTTCTCTCTACTCTCTGCCATATGGGGACACAGCAACAAGAATGCCATCTGCAAACCAGGAAGAGGGTCTTCACCAGAACTTGACCATGATGGCACCCTGGTCTTGGAGGGTCTGCAGAACCCAGCCTCTAGAACTATGAGAAATAAATGTTTATTGTGTGAGCCACCTGGTGTATGGGATTCTTGTTAGTAGCAGCCAGAACTAAGACATCTGTGCTAAGGCATCTATTATATATTATGAATTAACTTCTTTGCACTTAGAATGCCTTGTAAGAACTGAAAAAAGAATAGTCACTCAGAATATTTTCTACAAAACATAATTCTTCATAGAACTTGAGAAAAGTTAACTCTAGAGTAACCACTAAAAGGATAGAAAGAGAATTTATAGTTACCAAGCTAATAGAGGAGAAAGGAAATAGAATAATAAAAACCACTTACTGTCCAAAAAAAGACAGAAGACAAAAAAGGAACATAGAATAGGAGGAACAAGGCTAGGCGCAGTGGCTCATGCCTGTAGTCCCAGCACTTTGGGAGGCTGAGGCAGGTAGATCACTTGAGGTCAGGAGTTCAAGACCAGCCTGGCCAACATGGTAAAACCCCATCTCTACTAAAAATACAAAAATTAGCTGGTGGCACATGTGGTGGCACATGCCTGTAGTCCCAGCTACTCGGGAGGCTGAGGCAAGAGAATTGCTTAAATCCAGGAGGCAGAGGTTGCAGTGAGCCGAGATTGTGCCACTGCACTCCAGCCTGGGTGACAGAGCAAGATTTCATCTCAAAAACAGAGGAGGGACAAGTTCAAAACAAGTAGTAAGATGGTTAATTTAAATAGTAACAGACAAAATGGACTTTAAGGCCATTTAGAAACAAGGAAATTTTGTAATGAAAAATTAGTCAATCCACCAAGAAATACGTATGCACCTAATAACAGAGCTTCAAAAGACAAAAGTGAACAGAATCAAAAGGACAAAAAGATAGATTCAGTATCCCTGTTTCTTCTGTTATACACAAATCAGACAGAGCAGGATATTTGTTGAATATGGCATGAATGCACAGACCAACTTTCGTGTTATACTTACTGGTAAAACCCTGAAAGCAGTCTTTCACTGTTATTATACCTTATAACCCACCCCTAGAATTTCTGCTTCCCATTCTAGCAACTGAGCTCTGCTGGGATTTGGAGTTCTTGTTTTCCAATAGGGAATATTACTACCAGAGGACACAGAAAGGTTCCATTGAATTGAAAGATGAGGCTATAACCCATTTGGGACTGTTATGCCACTGAACCAACAGGTAGGAAAAGAGGTCACCCTGCTGACTAGAGTGCTTGATTCTGATTACTAAGGCAAAATGGGATAATGCTGTACAATGGGGGCAGGGAGGAGGATGTTTGTAACTCAGGATTCTCTAGAATGTCACTTAGTACTTCTTTGCAACATATTAGAGACAAATGAAAAACTGCAGTACTCAAGAAAAGGCAGGTCTGTTGAGGAATCAGATGTTTCAGGAACGAAGGTTTAGGTCACCCTGTCATGTTGAGAACCCTGACTGGCTGAGGTTCTAATTGAGGTCACAGGAAATGTTGGATGCATAGTAAAAGAAGAAAGTTGGGGACACCACCCATGGCTTCATAACCAGGTGCAGAAGCAAGGATTGTAGTTACTTAGCATATTTTTTTCTTGTGTCTGTATGTTTATATGTATTAAGTTTCCTCCCCCCCCCCCTTATTTTATATATAAATTACTGGAAGTTGGCCGGGCGTAGTGGCTCACGCCTGTAATCCCAGCACTTTGGGAGGCCGAGGTGGGCGGATCACAAGGTCAGGAGATCGAGACCATGGTGAAACCCCGTCTCTACTAAAAATAGAAAAAATTAGCCGGGCGCAGGGGCGGGCGCCTGTAGTCCCAGCTACTCGGGAGGCTGAGGCAGGAGAATGGCGTGAACCCGGGAGGCGGAGCTTGCAGTGAGCCGAGATTGCACCACTGCACTCCAGCCTGGGCGACAGAGCGAGACTCCATCTAAAAAATAAATAAATAAATAAATAAATAAATAAATTACTGGAAGTTAATTAAACAATTTGATCTTTAGAGAACAGAATAGTGTGACTATAACTGAATTTTAAGGATTAATTAATATAACTAGTGATTAATACAATGTCTGTTCGGACCGCAGCTCATTTTGGGGGTAAGGTGAGAACATGTTCATTTATAGGAAGGTAGCTGCATGTTATTAGGTGGAATCAGAGTTGTTTTAATACTTCAAATATAGAGAATGTGTATGGAAGCCAAGTAGCCAAAGGGGTGGACTATGCCAATTTATTGTTGCTCAGGTCCCAGTTTATGTAAATCCACATCCGTTTATGCCCTGCTTTTGATACAGGAGCTGGGCACTGTAGACATTTCCCTTTGGTGAGCTGGCTTCACTTTAGGCTTTGCCAGTGGAAGCACTGGAGGCACAATGTAAGGAAGATTAGAGGAGAAAAGGGTCTTCCCAGCCAGGCATGGTGGCTCACACCTATAATCCCAGCATTTTGGGAAACTGAGGCAGGAGGATTGCTTGAGCCCAGGAGTTTGAGGCCAGCCTGGGCAACATAGCAAGACCTCGTCAATACTTAAAAAAAAAAAAAAGACAAATGCCACGTGTGGTGGCGCTTGTGTTAGTGCCAGCTACTCCAGAGGCTAAGGTGGGAGGATCGCTTGATTGAGCCCAAAAGATTGAGGCTGCAGTGAGCTGTGATTGCACCACTGCACCCCAGCCTGAGTGACAGATTCTGTCTCAAAAAAAAGACAGCTAGATTTTTTGAGACAGCTAGATTCTGTCTCAAAAAAAAGAAGTGGGGGGTATCCCCCCACTCCCCCCTTCCAGTACGCATGCTTTTGGTGCAGCAGTCAGCAGGCTGGCTTAGGAGAGCCCTGGCAGTGCTCACCTCAGTGGTGCTTATGAAGCAGCCTCAGCCCACCTGTACCCTCAAGTTTCTCTGCCTCCCCAGTAGGGCCGTCGTGTAGACCACCTCTTCCCTGTTCCCTCTTGTAGGTCTTTCTGCTACTCTCCAGCTGTGTGTTCTGTGGCAACCACACCCTCTCCAGTCCTGCGTGGAGGGATCTTCTTCTGAGTTCTTAGCCTCTTTCTTAATACATACACACACACACACCTTTAGCTTGGAGCTATTATAGTAAGTGTGTCTGCTTTCTGCATTTGCTCCCTCTGGACCCCCTAAGGAACTATTCTTACCCCTGTTAAAACATAACCACCTTTTACTAGTTAACACATCTTCGTATTAACTCTATCCTGTTCAAGTTATTGATATGGTTTCTGGCTTCTGACTATTCCCTAAGACTTATTAACAACATTACTATTTAATCTTTAACATTGCTGTCTAAAGCTACGCCAGTTAAATAAGACAGGTGTATTCATTTTCTGTTTTTGCATAACAAATTACCACAAACTTAAGAGGTTTAAAGCATGATCAATGTTACTTCATAGTCCTGCAGGCCAAAAATCTA